GTTGAGGCCAACCTGGGCTCTTTCCCAGTGACTGGAGTCGGGTGGTCTCTGCCCGATTTCACTCTCTCACTTGGTCTGAGTTCGTGGGAGAACGATGGAAAACGAAGGAAAGAGTAATGGAGGAGGTTTTGGTCTGGTGTGTGGAACGAGGAAGCAAAGGGAAAAGGAAATATAAAAAATAAAATAAAATAATAATAAAAAGGGAGAAGAGAGCAGTTGGCATTGGGAAACTGCAAGCAACTATTGGGTTTCGTGGCACGCCGTCATTTTTGCACGCGAGAAAGAGAAGAGTTCCCCTAAAAATACAAATATGATTTTTTGGGTTGGGTTTAATTATTCGGCCCATTCCAGCACCTGCCCATGGCCCTTATAATTAAGGGGGCTAATGTTGAGGCCCAAAAAATCCGTGGTTGGGCCCAAAATGACGCATTATTCAAAAAAGGTCCAATTTGAAGCACGCAAAGATCCGCCACGCACGAATCACATTTCGCACGCCATGCCAAATAAATAATCCGTCATGCTAAGAATCGAGATTAAGATTATAAAATGCATTAGTTCTATAAATCCATGCCAATTATCCCGTCAAGCATTATAATTAAAAAAAAAACATGCCAAGCAACATGCCATGCCAAATGGGAAATTGTTACGGTACACCCAACCACGCTACAAGCCTAAGTGGGCCCAAGCCACTCAAATGTCCGGGGCTTGCTTGAGTGGGTTGTGGTATGAATGGTAATAAGTTGTCATGAGGCCCATTGATGGACCGAGAAATGGAGGTTCCGAGTTGCTTGGGAGCCTCGGAACTCAGGCCCATTTCTTAGGCCCAAAAACATGGGTAAGCACAAGAGAGAAAATATCCCAACCAAATGGCCCACTAACATCAACCAGAATGGCCCACTAAAATTAACCAAAATAGCCCATTACCTTAGTAAAAATAGTCCATTACCTTAGATAGCCCACGAAGCCCAAATGTTTGGTGAATTTAGCCCACTTATTGGATAACTTGATTTTTCATATTAAAAAACCCATACAATTTGAATAAAGGGGATCCAAAGCCCTCAGCACTTGGCTGAAGAGGAGAGCCACAAAGAAGCCAAGGGATCCACACGTGAAGGGCTACTAGGAGGGAAGGAACAAGTTTTCAAGCAAAGCATCCAAGGAACCAAAAGATATTGGCACGCAAGGAGCGACCCTTCGAACCAATATGTATGCCCAGTTCTTTCCCTCTTCAGATCTGACCATGAAAAAGGGAGAGGGAGGGAGGAAGAGGGATATCTGAAAATAGGAATGCTTCGAAAGGGGGCCTTTAGCTCCCAAAATCCCTGATTTTATGCAAAGGAGCAGAGTAGATTTCACCAAAAGAAGATGATTGAAAGGATGAGGAGAAAAAGGAAGGGAAAGACTTGGCAAAATGGGATGGAAGCCATTAGGGTTTCTTGGGAAAAGATGGTTTCCAGCGGCTATAAATAGGGCATCTTCTACCCAACGAAAATCAATCCACAACCAGAGAGCAAGCTTCCTCTCTTACTTTCAAAACCAACAATTTTCGTGCTTAGTTCATCTCTTTCCTCAGTTTTCCTTCTTGCCATGATGTTCTAACACTTGACAGAGCCTCTGTCAAGCTGCTGGAAAATTACCCAAAACACCCCATACTTCACCACTAGCCATAACCACAAATCCAGGAGCAAGCTTCCTCTCCTACCTGCAAGAACTCAGCAAAATTCGTGCTCTACTCGTCCTCCCCTTCATTTTTCCCCTTCTGGCAGGCTGCTCTAGCATTTGACAGAGTCACTGTCAAGCTGCTGGAAATAATATTCAAGCCACCCATTCCTCTCTTTTTCCTCATTCTCAGCCAAACCTCTCTGCAAACTCTTCATCTCCTACCTTAATATCCCTTTTTCCCCCAGGAATACTTAGTTTTCTCTTCAATGCTAAACTCA